ATATATATATATATATATATATATATATATATACACACATATACATATATATATATACATATATTATATATACATATACATATACATATATATATACACATATACATATACATATATATATATATATACATATACATATACATATACATATATATATACACATATACATATACATATATATATATATATACATATACATATATATATATATATATATATTTTAACAAGTAATAAGCAGTTTTAATCATTTGGACATGACACTCGACTTATACGAGAGATCTGGCTTTTTAAAATTGTTACGGATTTTGCATTTCATGTTTGTTTTTTTGTTTTTTAATTGCCTTTTAGAAGTCTGTTTGAGAGCAGTGAAGTCAGTCCTGCATCAGAATTACAATCATTATTTAGTATATAAAAGGAATCAATAGAATACTTAATTTGTACCTATATCAAGAAAAACATGCAAGTACTATAATTATAGTGTAATCACCCTGAAAGAAATGTGTTCACCCCTTACTTAAAACTCTCTAATTGTAATTAAGGATCTTTATATAGCCTGGTGTACCAATACATTTGCCCATCAAAAACTCCAATCCCCATCCGTCTTTATTTCCAAACATACCCGGTTTCTCTGGGCTCTTTTGCTCACACCGAGATGATGTGAACTTGCTCAGTTCACGCTCCATTACCGAGATGGTGCTACCACAGATGTTACAGCTCATTAATTCAAAGCCTGTATGGCTTGCACTGGGATGATGGAGGTTAAGACAGAGGCTCCTCCTTTGCAGGTGAATAGATAGGCCGCATAAGAGATGCTATACACTTACAGTAGATTCCATTAATGTGTACAATTCTTAGAGCTGAATGTTAACTAAAATGATGCTCACCTGTTTGATGAGCAGCTACATGCTTGTGGTGAAAAACTCCTTTAATGGGATCCAATCGTTTTGTTTTCTAAAGGACACGCAGTCAACCTGAAAAAAAAGAAACATTAGAGATGCACTTATGCAGCTTTAGATATGCCTGGAATACAATCCACCCACTAATTCATCAATAAGCTCCTCAAGCCTCCTGTCCTCACGTACTCCCACTCATTTCTATAGTTCTCCTTTTTCCTCTATTCTTTTACAATGAATAGCATGAATAAAGCACTTCAATTCTCTACATTGTCATGCAATATGAAGGTGGAGTCAACTGTGTAAAGAGAGCAGTATATTTTCTGGTATGTTGTGAAAAGAGTACAGGATTGTGCCAGTGAGACTGGCCATGAAGAACTTCACTGTAGTCCTGACAAAGTTTGGCCCACTGCACTATGGTGGCTGTCTCTCTGGTGGGCGAGTCACTTCAGTCCTTTCAGAATTTAGTCTGGCAGCATCGTCAAGTTTCTTGTCAAAACCGCAAACAAACAGTTAATCTCGACCAGACTCCACGAGCACTCTTTGGATCACATTAGCAGAAAGACTGATTCTTATATCTAGGACAAAGGGTGTGCCAGTGTGATCGTACCGCAGGAGATCTTTCCCATCTACATTCAGAACTGCCTAGCAGCAATTATGAAATGTAGCGGTACAGAGAGCTGCTGCTGAAAGGAAATAGTTTATTTCTGACAAATGGTACATCTTTAGCAGCAGTCAGTGATGTGCGTCATCCAGAGTTAGCTCCAGCTGTCTCATTTGACATTGCCTGCAGGAGCACGAGTGTCAAGTGTGATGTTCAGACAAGTGGGGTCAACCCATCAGACTGAAGATGGCGACAGATAGTTGCTCGCAGCTTTACTTTGTAAACTTTCAGAGGATGGAGCTGAAATATGATGCTAATTCAGACAGAGTGATTAGGAGACACAGTAATCTATAGTAGCTCAGAGGAGATTCACTCTGTAATGACAAATTATAGGATTCATCGTTGGCCACAGTGGAACTGTAAACGTATCCGAGTGAGGTAAGAGGAGTATACTGCAAATGTTAATACCTGTCTTCAGCAATAAGCATTTGCATGTAGAATTACATCAGTGACAATTTATGGTTATTTTAAATAGAGGCCAGCAGGAGACCATATAATGCATCATGATGAGTTATATAATTGGACTTATTCAGATCACTACATCGAAGACTAAACATTTCCTGAGCAGTGTCCCTGCCTAATTATAGCAGGTAAATGGAGAGCGGTTTTATAAATGACTGAGGTCTTCTGATTCTCACCAACAGTGCGCGCAACAGTACATAAGATGCAGTGGTACAAGACCACTTCTTTTCCCCTTTGAGACGATTTATTCATTAATGAGACACTGCTAAGAGGCTTGTGTCTTTCTCCTCTCAGTTGGTTACCTCAGAGAAAATCAATGTGTCATTTGATCTGTCAGTAAATCTCTCCTGCCACGTGGATTTATTACTCAGAGACCTTTGTATCAAAATTTCATATACAGTAGTGTGCAGAAAGACAAGGGGAAAAATGTCAGACGATGAGATTGCATCCCCACACAGATGGTCCAAGATCATGGCACATGTGTGAAAGAATTCTCAACCACTTCTTATGCTGGTTTAAGGAATAATACACTGTTTTAGTACCAGTGAATGGTGCATGGTGCAAAATCTGTCAAGGCTCACCCAGGCAGCATATCGGGATCACCACAGATTGACAATGCAATGACAAAACTTACTGTCAGAACAATACAGTCATAGACCGTATAGACTTGAATGGGTCATGTTGCCTTAGGTGACCTGGCTTCACAACTCTCCTCCACAACCTTGCCAAGCAGTGCTCAGCATTGATGAGCAAGAGAGGCAAAGACGGAGACTAAAATGAAGCAGCTATAACCACCATGAGCAACGGAATGTTTCCCAATCTATTTACGGCTGCAGAAAATAATAAAATCAGTGAGGCATTCTTTCTGTGTCGACATGAAATTCTCATAGATTATTGTCCATGAATACGGAATTTATAAGATTTTAAAAACAAAGTTGGTGTTTTTCTTCAGGCGGACGTCATCCAGTATGTGTTCTTTGAGAGAAAATGACTTATGTTAAGAACTAAAATGAAAGCTTTGCCTCTCTCTGATTGAACATAACTCTTGCAGTGAAATGCCTTAATTAAGTTAGATAAGGCTAAGCCAATGTTTCATGTTGCCATTATAAAACATGAAAAATGGACTGAAAAGTCTCAGCTGCAGTCTTCTCTCTTCATTGTCTGTTGGAAAATAAATACATCTTTCTGTAGAAATGTATTTTTTTTTGTCTTGCAGACACACAATGCAACACAGTGTTCTGTCATTTAACTAACATTTCAGTGAGAGAAAACAGAAACAGTAAGGTGTGGATGGGTGAGGAGTAAGGATGCGTCAGCCTATGCGCTATTCAAACGTGCGAGTATGCTTTCAGCTAACTCAGTAAACAGAAAATAGAACAGAAAATGTGATATACTGTGGTAATCATGTGTTGGTTGTTAATAAAGCTGATGTTTCAACAGTACATAAACATGAATGAGTGGTTGAGGTAGGTGGTAGCTTCCATATCATCATAGTCTATCACATGTAGGACTAATTTACTTTTAATGAGGATCTTCACTTCAAAGTATTCTTTCTCTTTTTTTAGGGAAATACATTAAAAGGATTTCTGTATTGGCTTTCACTTGATCCACCATCTGCCATTCAGAAACCCTCTGAAAACATTTGGCTTCTTTGTTCTGGAAACAGCCTGCGTCCTGTTTTGTGTTGTACAATAATCCACCAGATTTCCCCCACAAAGCCCACTCTGGAGGCACAATTCTGTGTGTGAAAGGCTATTTTCTTATGATGAAAATGCTGTGCCGTACAAGCTGACCATTACTAAAGAGATATTTTACTGTATAATGTTTCTGAATTTCACAGTAATGGTTGTAAGTGTTGAACCACCAGCTGTGCTGCCCTTTGTTGCAAAGGGAAAAATCGACTAATAGCAGTAGGTAACTTCAAACAACATAATGGAGATACTTCCAAGACGTCTCCCACAAATGTCATAAAATGTGTTATTGCTTTCCAAAACAACATATGTGACGATGATGATGTTTTCTGTTCTGGCAGAACAGATCGTTTGTAAACTACAAATGACTGAGACGAAAACGACTCATAGGATACTTTTCTGATCTGTCATCATAGGATTGGCTCTGGTTAGCCACTTGGTTAAAGTAAGGAGATGATCATGTTTACTTTAAAACTTGGTTTGCGCATAGATTTATCACCATTGTACTTTACAGTTCACTACATATACAACTATATATTACCTAAATAGTAATGCATACTTGGTTTTAACACACATGAAATGAGCTATTCGATTGAAAAAGATTTTTGCACAACACAAAAAAAAATAACAGTGGGCAAAGCACAAAATAGTGTTGAAGTACCACTGCTCATTTTAAGGGGTCCAACAGCCCAGATGGTACATTTTGGATAGTTGACACCATGTAATACTGATGGAATGCACACAGATGTTTCAAGACTGTTTGCCCTGTGTGGCCTTTTGACAACCCGAACCCAAGAGATATCAAGCGATTTCATTGCCACTCCAGCTTTTTTAAATCCATAAAAATACATTACGCCCTTCCAAACTGCAATTTGAACAGAAATCAGAAAAGACAGCTGCCAAACTACAGGTATCATGTACAGCATTATTTGATGTAGTTGATATAAGACTGCTTAGGAAGTAGGCCTACACCATCACAAATACAGCAAAACGCTGTCGTTGTTTGACCAATAATCTACAACAAGAAACAACCTGTGCGCTTACTACGACATGAAAACAGACACATGTGAAGCTGAAACATTGATTGGTTTGGTCCAAGTATTAACAAATAGTTGTGTTTAATTTATGCAATGTCAACATTGTTTTTACATCTTTGACAGGCAAATAAAACTCTGAGCCTTTTCTTTTTAGGTCGTCAAACCTGAAAAGATAACGTCAGCGCCCTCGGCTCTCATTTTACGCAAACGTTAACCGTTCTCCGCCCCGTCCCGGTAACACACCGACATCAAGTCAACTTCTGGAGTCTGATCACGGGTTTAAACTGCAAATGTAACCGCAAAAAAAAAAAAAAAAAATAAGTGTGTAAGTAGTAATGCAATGCGGTGAAAAGTCCCTGTTGGTCGTTTTATTCTCCCACACATACCTTTGTTCGAGTCGGGAGTTTACCTTCCCCTCTGTCTGCGTGCCGCTGTGACAGCCGCGCCTCGTGAGATGCCAAACCTCCACCTCTCGGGAGCGAGCATGCCCAGAGCTGCGATCACGCGGTCAGCTGATGTGCTCGAACACATAATAGGCCAAAAATTGTAGGCTTAACCCTTAACAATATATCATTTCAGCAACTCATAGGTTTTATGTGTAAAACTGAAAAGTAACTAAAAGCTGCCAGTTAAATTTAGTGGAGTAAAAAGTAGCTACAATATTTCCCTGTGAAATGTAGAGGACTGGAAGTTTAAAGTACAGCTCAAAATGGAGATACTCAAGTAACGTAGAAGTGCACAAAAATTGTAGCCGACTTCAATTGTACTTTAATATCGAGAGTGAACATACTTCGTTACTTTCCAACCCTGATATTTCTTTACAAACATGGGTCTGTCGTCCACATGTAAGTTATATTCTTGATAAAAATGTGGATGTTTAAAGCAGTGATTACCAACCAGAGGACAAGATAATTAAAGAATCCAGCATAAATAAACATACATGTCTTTTAGACTAAACTTTATATTTTTCAGACTTTTATCTCAGGTTTTATTTCCACACTAAGGCTATT